AAAATTAGCCGGGCATGGTGGCAGGTGCCTGTAATCCCAGCTACTTGGGAGGCTGAGGCAGGAGAATGGTGTGAACCCAGGAGGCAGAGCTTGCAATGAGCGGAGATAACGTCACTGCACTCCAACCTGGGCGACAGAGTGAGACTCTGTCTCAAAATAAATAAATAAATAAAAAATAAATTAGGTATTAGAAGCGGTGGACTTCTTCAATTTTCCTAGATGCAAAATTGGATTCCAGAGAATTTCGATGCAGGCTTTATTTTGTATGGCTCTAAGAATCTGCCTTAACTTTTCAAACTTAATATATTTTCCATTCATTGAATACTTTATATCACTCCTATTTTTAAAACTTAAGGATAAGAAAAAAAGAAAATCCATATTAGAGGTGAATTTGGTGTTTTTCAGGTTTGTTTTAATAAACTTTTCAAGGCCAGGCGCAGTAGCTCATGCCGGTAATCCCAGCACTTTGAGAGGCCGAGGCAGTTGGATCACCTGAGGCCAGGAGTTCGAGACCAGCCTGGTCAACATGGCAAAACCCTGTCTGTACTAAAAATACAAAAAATAATTAGCAGGATGTGGCGGCACACACTTGTAATCCCAGCTACTTGAGGCAGGAGAACCGCTTGGACCCGGGAGGCAGAGGCTGCAGTGAGCCGAGGTCGCGCCATTGCGCTCCAGCCTAGGGGATAAGAGCAAAACTCCATCTCAAAATAATAATCTTTTAAAATAAATTTTTTAATAGTACTTTGAACTTAAGTGATTTTAAAATTAAGTGAAAAATCCACTCTAGAAAATAAAACTGCTTCTCCATATTTACACATTGGTGGGACCTAGTATGCTGCCTTGTCCCCAAAATTGCTACCAGCCAGCACTCCACATAGCCTCTCCTGCGCATATTATAGCGAAATTCCACAGTCTTAAAATAAATAGAAAAACAATTTCCATTTAATATGCATTCTCTTAGCAGTTCTTTGCTGCATCATATCTATTCAGCAAACAAGATACCTCTCTTCATAAATTAGAAAAAATAAGAAATCATCTTTTATGAATTATTTATTTTCTTTCTTAGAAAAGGATGCGCCTCCACTTAGCAAGGCTGGGCAGGATGTGGTTCTGCATCTGCCCACAGACGGGGTGGTTCTAGACGGCCGCGAGAGCACAGATGACCACGCCATCGTCCAGTATGAGTGGGCGCTGCTGCAGGGGGACCCGTCAGTGGACATGAAGGTAACGCATGTTGTCACTGCTAACAAAAACGGGTATTTCAGTGAAGTGGTCTTTCGTAATGTCCTGCCACTTCATGCTCCCTAAATGTCTGTACGCTAGCAGAAGGCATAAAATGGAGAATGTGTAAAACGGATTGTGCCAAAATGGTTTATTATCTCAGTGTGCTTTTCTGCTGAGTGAGCAGCAGTCTCGATCATTTGTCTTGGAGCCTACCCTCCTTGCTGCTGTTTGTGACTTGTCTAGAGGACAAAGACACTTCAAGGAAAAAGACTCATACTTTGTTTTAATGACTCAGATTACTTTTTTAAAGTTCTATTTCTTTTTCTTAGCTCAAGATCCAGGTAGAAAATTTGAAAACTACAAAAGAGTCTAAAGAGGACAATAACAATAGGATGAACTTATCCTTCACGTGAGCCAGAAAGTAAACAGCTTACCTGGCAGCGAGGTCTGCTGGGGTGCACCAGGCCTCTGAGGGAGGGAGGCCAGCATGCGGTGCTCCTGCCCGGGGCTCCTGGGATCGCCACCGATGGAAATCAGCCATGTGCCCGGTGGCTGCCTATGCTCAGGAAGTCTTGAGTGGTGAGACAAGCGGCTTTTTATTCACCCTGTCAGGGTGAATTCCTGGCTTAGGCAAATAAGCACTTCCTGACTTAGGCAGATAAGCGGCATCCAAACCACTTCAGTTAGGGAAAGTGGAGAAAGAGGGTGAGGTAAGGAGGCACTGATTTATATTCTACTGGAACCAAAACAAAAACAAATCAGGAAGTCCCTCACCACTGATTTAAGTAAGAGTGATTTTACTCCCCGACTATATTGTGTTAGAATTGGACTCACCCTTGTCCAGTATGGTTTGCCTTTGTCCCCACCCAAAAATCTCATCTTGCATTGTAATCCCCATAATCTCCATCTGTCACGGGAGAGACCAGGTGGAGGTTATCGAATCATGGGGGTGGTCTCCCCCATGCTGTTCTCATGATAGTGAGTGAGTTCTCACGAGATCTGCTGGTTTTATAAGTGTTTGGTAATTTCTCCTGCCATCTTGTGAAGAAGGTGCCTTGCTTCCCCTTCGCCTTCTGCCAGGACTGTTCTAGTAAGTTTCCTGAGGCCTCCCCAGCCATGCGGAACTGTGAGTCAATTAAACCTCTTTCCTTTGTAAATTACCCAGTCTTGGACAGTTCTTTATAGCAGTGTGAGAATGGACTAATACATCCAGCATCCTTCCCAGCCTCTCCTCCAAACAAGAGCGTCTTCCACCACACCTCTTCCAAGGCTCATCTACCGTCTGCCTGACTTTTCCAAGGGCAGAAGCTCACTACTTCACACCATGTCCATGACATTGCTCATCACTGTATTGGGCAAGCAGGCTGCGCCTCCCCTTCCTTCTGTGCATTGGTGCTGGGTCTTCCCTTTGGAGAAACACTGAACTCATCTTTTTATCCTGCGTAAAAGTTTTGGAGGTCTTTGGAAAAAAAAAAAGAACATCACCACTTGGTATGCTGTTCTCAGAACTCAGCACCCCATGATTTGTCAGATGTTCCTCATATGAATTGATTTTCAGGCCCACCACTATCCTGCCTTGTCTGGATTTTCTCATATTAATCCATACCCTTCTTAACATCTAATACCCCTAATTGAACCCCATATTTAAACTTTGGTTTTCTGACTCATCCATTACCTCCTGTGATCCAGATATTGCCTCTGCTTCTATTAATGAGCTTCATTACATGAACCATGTTAGTAGCTACATCACACAATAGGTTCGTGCTGCATTTTTCCAAGCATGTGTATAACAGCGACGCAGGTAGACCTCAAGTTATGAAGCCATCATCTAAATGACAGAGCCTACACTAGGGGAAACATCTGTTACCAATTTGTGACTGTCTTAGAATGATATACATTCATGAATGTCCCCCAGAGTTAACACTCATCCTGCTGAGACTTCATCACAATCAAAACCCCCATGGGTTGAGCACCCACTGAGTGCCAGGAAGCTTAGAGAGCTCTGTAGTCCACTGGGACACCCTCACTTGTAGGCACATCCCCATTTGGTGGATGAAGACTGTCAGGAAACACTGTGGAAGACTTTGAGGTGGGCAAAAGATTACCAAGTACCTTTCAATGGAATGCTGGGGTTGGTTAGTGGATCCTTCAGGGTTAACATCTATAAGTTGCAGAAAACTGATAGTAACCAAATGATTCTTGTCCATAGAAATGCAAAAAAAAAAAAAAATTGGTATATAGGGGTAATTGGTATATAGGAGAAAATAATTGGTATATAGGAGAAAATAAGATTTCAAACATGACATTTTAGTACATGTAGATACCAATCTATTAATAGATTCATTTCAGTACTGATTAGCAAACCCATTTCAGTTTTGCATCTCCTAGCAACTTCTTTTTCGCATTCATGATTGACTGTATATATGTAGTCTTCAGATTCTTGAAATCAGTTGAACACCTTATTGATTCCCTCTTTAACTAATGTCTTTGAAAAATATTCATGCTATATTTGTGTGAGAGTCATAGCTTTACCATTTTGAGAATTTTCCTTTAACAGTAATTAACCTTCAGGAGCTATACCTGTGACCCCTTTAACTTGAGCAGCCTGATTTCACACCCCAACATTTCTGCCAGGAGAATTGGGCCTCTCAAATCAAATTCCTTTTTCTCTGAGAATGACTTCCTGCTGACTGGAACACTGATGCACTCCGCCCTCAAGCTGCAAAATGGGGCTAAGTTTGAAAGTTGTTGGGAATGGAGGGAGGGCAGTCACACAGCAGAACAGTTAAGTTAAAACCTGATGTTGGATACCTTTGTTTCTAAGTCCCTTGACTGTCCCTAGCACCCAGGAGCATCCATTCATTGGGCTCTCCCCTGAGCGCCCACCTCCTCCTCTTCTTGAGCCATTCATCCCTCCTCTCATCTCCCCTGCTCTCCATCATCTGCATGGGCTCCTCATCCTTGTTCTCCTCAGGCAGAGTAGTGATCACTCCCTTTGTCTTGCAATACTTTAAGATCAGGCTCTAGGGCCCATCTTTGCATGTCCAAGTGACCCAGACAGGTATTCAACCTGCAAGGAATTATGCTGTCAGATTAGTTATGAAACAATTAATAGCGAATTTTTAAGCATCTGGTATGTGTCCAGTACTGTACTAGACACTAAGCATACAGGAAAGCTCATGTTCCTGACTTATCTCATTCATTCGTTATTCATTCATTCATTCATTGACAGAGTCTCACTCTGTTGCCCAGGCTGAAGTGCAGTGGCACGATCAGAGCTCACTGTAGCCTCAAGCAGTCCTCTCACCTCGGCCTCCTGAATAGCTGAGACTATAGTCATGGCTAATTTTTTTTTTTAACTTTTTGTAGAGATGAGGTCTCACTATGCTGCCCCGGCTGATCTCAAACTCCTGGGCTCAAGCAGTCCTCCCTCCTTGGCCTCCCCAAGTGCTGAAATTACAAGCATGAGCCACAGCACCTGATCTGTGTTTTTCATTTGTGAAGACAGAATAGATGATTGGTCAGAACCAAGAGGCTATCCACTGGATTTAAAGTTATATATTTTCTGCCCTTACATCCACTTAACTGAATATTTACAATACATCAAAATGCAAGATGACACATATTTTTCAGGCAGCCCATTAAATGACACTGACTTTCATGAATATTATACATAATACATTTAAATCTGAAGTCAGAATGTAAAATATGACATTTGGGAACATGATACAAAGTAGGACATTCAAGGAGATTTGGAATTCATAAATCAGTACGTTGACTTACATTCATCAGTTGCTTAAAAGTTTCTAACTAAATGATTATCTTAGTCCATTTGGTCTGCTGTAATAAAACACTGTAACTCAGTGGCTTCTAAAGAGCAGAAATGAATTTCTTTCACTTCTGGATGCTGGGAAGTCCAAAATCAAGATACAATCAGATTTGGTGTCTAGTGAGGACCCATTTCCTAGTTTATGACCAGCCATCTTCTCACTGTGTCCTCATAAGGCAGAAGAGGCAAGGCAGCCCTCTGGGGTCTCTTTTATTTTATATTTAAATGTATTTTAACTTTTATTTTAGGTTAAGGGGTACATATGCAGGTTTGTTATATAGATAAACTTATGACTTAATGGCTTGGTGTACAGATTATATCCTTACCTGGGTATTAAGCATATTACCCAACGGTTTTCTTTTTCTCTAAACCTCTACCTCCTTCCATCCTCCACCCTCAAGTAGGTCCCAGCGTTCTGCTGTCCTGCTTTCTCTGTCTGTGTGTTCTCATTTAGCTCCCACTTATAAGTGAGAACATGTGGTATTTGGTTTTCTGTTCTTGCGTTAGTTTGCTGAGAATGAGGACCTCCAGTTCCATCCGTGTTCCTGCAAAGGACATGATCTTGTTGGTTTTTATGGCTGCATAGTATTCCATGATGTATATGTACCACGTATTCCTTATCCAGTCTACCATTGATGGGCATTTAGGTTGATTCCATATCTTTGCTATTGTGAATAGCACTGCAGTGAACATATGCGTGCATGTGTCTTTACAGTAGAACAGTTTGTATTTTTGGGGGTATATACCTAGTAATGGGATTGCTGGGTCAAATGATAGTTCTGTTTTAGTTCTTTGAGGAATTGTCACACCACTTTTCACAGTACACCGCTTTCCACAATGGGTGAACTAATTTGCACTCCCACCAGCACTGTGTAAGCATTCCACCAGCATCTAGTGGTTTTTGTTTTGTTTTTTACTTTTTAATAATACGGGGCCTCTTTTATAAGGGCACTAACATGCCCTTCATTCATGAGCATGTATCTCCAAATGCCATCACACTGGGCATTAGGTTTGAACATGTGACCTTGGGAGGGCACTCAGCCATTCAGTCTACAGCAGTGACTTCAGAAAACCACACGTAAGGAAGCTTGCTAAAGGATGGACATTATTTAAACCAACAACTTCATTATTAAATTAAAACTTACTGCATCCTGGCCTACCTGCTGTACATAATTTTTTTAAATAGGTACTACTAAGTTTTTGTAACCAAGTATATACAATGTGTGTGTGTGTGCATGCGTGTGTGTGTGTAATTTAGTCTATACATATATGAGAAGCCCAAATGTGTATTCCTAGCCACTAAATTCCTAGCTAGGAAGATGGGGTTGAGTCAGAAAACAGGCTGAGTCATTCATTGATTTGGCCAGAAGCCAACCACCAAAGGCTGTTACTGTTGAACAGGGATCTTGAGCAAAGATTAGAAGCTCCTGGTTTTATGATCATGTCTGTTTCCAAGTTACAAATTGGATATGTTGTGTGTACATATGTAGGTAGTTTTTTATCCTGAAACTTGGAACATATCTGTGAAACACTTTAAACCCTCTCTCCAATGTCATCTTAATGGGAGAAAATGTATAGAAGGGTCACCTGGGCCCTTAAAGGGAAAGCATCCATGTGACAGTTCTACATCTTCTAAATAACCGAATGCAAAGAGAGACAGCTCTCGTTAGCTAAAGGAATGAAAGGAGCCAGAGAAGGGACACTTAATCTGGATAGATCTAAATTGGAGTGTGCTCAGGAGGCTGAGGTGATTATCATAATCTGCATCTGGACCCAGTGTTGCTGCATCAGACAGGCAGTGCCTGGGCAGGCAGTGGGGAAGCATGCCAAGGCCAGGTGTGGGGATGGCCCCGACCCAGGGATGCTCTGTCCTTTCAGCCCCAGTGTTGACAAGAGGCTTCCTAGTGAACTGCAGGCCTGCAGAGTTTTAGTCTGACATTGGCACTCTGAGTTTTGGTGCCCAGAAGCTCAGTGACTCACTGACTTTTGCAGGGAGCTCTGGCACAGGGTGATGCCAGCAGCCTCATGGATGGCACATCCAGCTCCCTGGCCTCAGTGCTTCCTTGGTTTTTTTAGTTTATATTTTATTTTATTTTATTTTGAGATAGGGTCTCGCTCTGTCGCCCAGGCTGGAGTGCAGTGGTGCAATCTCGGCTCACTGCAACCTCCACCTCCTGGGTTCAAGAGTTTCTCATGCCTCAGCCTCCCAAGTAGCTGGGATTACAGGCACGTACCACTTGGCTAATTTTTGTATTGTTAGTAAAGATGGGGTTTCACTATGTTGGCCAGGCCGGTCTCGAACTCCTGGCCTCAACTGATCCACCCACCTCAGCCTCCCAAAGTGGTGGGATTACAGACGTGAGCCACCGTACCCGGCCCCTTGGTGTTTTTTAAAATCTCTGTTAACTTTGTCTCCACTCCGATGGCCATGCTCAGAATCTGGTCGTGACTCGGCGTTCCCCTGTCACACTCACCTTCTAAATCTCTGCTCTGAATCAATCCTGCAGCCCACTCCTCCACTCACATACCATGGCGGGGGGCCAGCACTTGCTGGTCCCTGGCAGTCTCAGGGCTTCCTGTCTGCTTTCAGGCTGAGCAGCTGGGACAGAGCAGCTTTCTTGTATCACCTTACTTGACTGAAGGCTGCAGGGCCTCACCTAGACATTCTCCAGCATGCCTGTCATTTGCAGCCATGCTCCCTTGTGTTCCTCAGTCCCAAGAGACAGTAAATGAGGGCGTAAGCTATTGTACTGCTGCCCACCAGCAAGGTCTGCCTGGTTCTGAGCCAGACTTAAAGAGAGCCAGAGCCTGCCACATACCCGCCCACCCCTCCACTTAGGCAGCTCTGAGCTTCACCACCTGCACCTTACCCTGTCTTTGTCTCACCTTGGTTCAGCCTGGTGCCCATAGGAAGAGGCCATAACTGACCCTCCTCTCACTGCAGATGGAGGTGGGAGGGAAAGTTTCCAGAAAAAAAGGAGACACCAGGCTCTGGTCCTACCAGAGCTCAGGCCTCCTGGCCACTGCAGTGACCCAGGCAAGAGACAGGGTGGGGTCAGAGCAAGGTGGTACCCGTGGACAGGGTGATACATGGTCAAATTCTGGATGTGTTTTTAAGGCAGACCCCGTGGGATTTCCCGAGGGATTGGAGGTGAGATATGAAAGAGGGATCATTAAATGCAATCTTGAGGTCTCAAACCAGAGTTCTAGTCTTGTTTTCAGTCTTATTTATCTGATTCTCTGATCTTATCTGACCGGATAAGATCTGGTCTTATCCGACAGATAAGACCTGAGCCCCAAGTCTTATCCGATCAGAATAAGACCTTATCCGGTCTTGTCCTGAGTCTCAGACTGACTTCCACTTTTATTTCAGTGGGTTCTGATTCCTAGCATCAGTGACCCACTCCAGGCTCTTTGAAAATTCTCTTATTGTCATTAGAGTGCTCTCTGCTGCCCTTAGTATTTTAGCACTCACATAAATGACCCGTTTGGCATTCTATCAGTGTGGTTGAGTCTGAAGGTAATGTAACAGCATGGCAGTGAGCACTGCTTAACATCTCTTTGAAATAAACAACAAAGGGCAGGTGGCCATCGTTGCCAGCCCTCCAGAGTAAGGCTTTTGCAGGGAAAGTGATAGACAGCTTGTAGGCCGGTGTAGACTGTTTTACAACTCGAGGTCTCAATTCTGTCACTGTCTCAGTGAATGAAAATCACTTCATGGGAATCATTTCTTTATCTGTAAAGAGTCATTGTGTAATGTTGCTCAGTTAGAGATAAGAATCAACCAGTGGAGACAATGGATATATTTAAGCGTTTACTATGGGCCAGGCCCAGCTCTTTTACATGAGTTACCTTATTTGATCCTCATCAGGTAGGTACTATTATTATTTCCATTTTACAAATGAAAAAAAAAAACTGAGGTTTAGAGACATTAAGTACATCATCACCCAGCTGGTACAGGGTAGGGCTGGCATTCAAACCCATGTCTATTGGACACCGGCTTCTGTGCTCTTAACCACGCACTAGTGTCTCTTTCAGTGAGGATCATGGGTCACCTGGGTGGGCTGGGTAAGTGTAGAATCCTGGGTCCCGCTCTCCTGACCAACCCACTGACTCTGACTCTCTGAGGCTGGGACCTGGAAATCCATACCTTAGCTAAAGTGGCATAAAATACGACAACCACAGTATCTCATTATATCACCTCTAAATGATTGTGAAGCATCCTGTGGGTGTGTAAATGTAGTGTTGACAAATCCTCTAAGCCTAAGTCAGTCCACATTCTAGGATTCCCTAATTAAAAACAAGCAGATGGTTCTTATAATAGTGCAATCCTCTGTAATTTCAAAAGTCCATTATTAATGCATCAATGTAATAGAATGTCGAATGGTCAGCATTCGGCAGAGGACACTATCCAGACTAGTTCATTTAAGCAGAAATGAATTTTTTTAAGTAGAATATTAAATGGGTAATAGAATCATTAGGAAAGCTGAAGAAACAGTCTTTTGGCTGAATGTCCAGCAAAATCCTACCACAGAGCTGAGCCTTAGAAGCTGTTGCTCCAGCGTGCTCAGCAAGCTGCCTGTGAATGTTGGGAGAGCAGAGGGCAAGCATGGAGCCCTGGGTTAGGAAGTGATCAGAACTGAAGCCCAGGAGGGCCTCTGCAAGGAATGAGTGGGGGAGCTTGGATAGAAAAGGAGGCCAAGGAAGCAGGGGTTTTCAAATAGCCAAAGTGGCCAGCGTGGCCAGATACAGTAAAAAGGCCAGCTAAACATGAATTTTTTTTTTTTTTTTTTGGGAGAAGGAGTCTCACTCTGTCACCAGGCTGGAGTGCAGTGGGTGATCTTGGCGCACTACAACCTCCGTCTCCCAGGTTTTCAAGTGATTCTCCTGCCTCAGCCTTCCGAGTACCTGGGACTGCAGGCACACGCCACCATGCCCAGCTGATTTTTGTATTTTTAGTAGAGATGGGGTTTCACCATGTTGGCCAGGATTGTCTCCATCTCCTGACCTCATTGTCCGCCCGCCTCGGCCTCCCAAAGTGCTGGGATTACAGGCGTGAGCCACTGCGCCCAACCATGCATGGAGTTTTAAAAACCAGTATTGCTGGTCTTGACACCTAGATGGCTTTTGCTAGGTCAGTGAGTGACTTTTGCCAGCACTGTTTCAGGGGGACGGTGAGGAAAGCAGCTCCACCAGGTGGGCGAAGACTAAATGGGAAGTGAACCAACAGAAACGGCAAGCGCGGCACAGCGAGGCCTTTCAGTGAGCCCTTTCAGTGAGCCAAGTGGAGATGGGAAGGAAGCGGGGCTGTGATTGGCGAGCCCTTGGAGCTCAGGGAATTTTTTTATTTGTTGTTTTGTTTGTTTGTTTCTTAAGATGAGAGACACTTGGGCATTGTAATAGCAGAGCCATTTGAAAGAGAAGTGAGTCTATGTGTCAGTGTTCTAGAAGTCCTAGCAAGAAAGAGGGCAAGGACTAGAAGGAGGGGTTGGCCTGGAACACAGGAGGGATAGCTACTCCCTGCCAGCTCTCAGAAGGAGATGACAGTGGGTACAGGTAGGGCCCCAGGAAGAGGTGGGTGGTGGAGCCCTAGTCATGGTCCTGATTTTCTCCCTGAAGCTGATGAGGCCCCCTGCTGAGATGGAAGGGCCTGGATCCTGAGCGTGAGGCTGGGGATGAGGTGCAGGTTTGGAGCAGCAACTGCTGCAGACAAGAGAAGGGATTGTGTCAGTCAAGGTCTTGGCCACCTAAATAAACTAGAACTGATGAGTTCAAGGTGGGCCAGCTGCCAGCAGCATGTGATGTAGTTCAGCAGCCTCAGGCTGGAGTGCAGAGGCAGGTCCCGGGGCTGCTCTGAGGACATGGACTTTCGGTCAAGGATGGTGTTGGACTCGGAGCTCAGGACTGCTGCTCAATGTCATGTGTCGCATCTGTGTGGCAGGTGCCTCAATCAGGAACCCTGAAGCTGTCCCACCTACAGGAGGGAACCTACACCTTCCAGCTGACAGTGATGGATACGGCCGGGCAGAGAAGCTCTGACAACGTGTCAGTGACGGTGCTTCGTGCGGCCTACTCCACAGGAGGTGAGAAGAAGGCCCTTCCCTCGCTTCCCACTGCTTACGGAAGGCGGCGTCGTTGGCGTCGTTGGTGCTTTGTCTTCTGGCTCTGCACTCCATGGGCTCTTCCACTTTATTTTTGGTTATTGCTGAATGAGAGAGTCTTTGCTAAAAATACAATAACAAAAGCAGGCTCTCTTCTGTTTTGGGCTTAGTTGATGCTACTGGGTTGGGGTGGAGGGAGCACTCCAGGGGATGAGAAGAGATGCTCCCGCTTTTCTTGACTTCATCAAAGACAATTGCCCGGCTATTCTGGGAGAGGACTTTGTTTACAGATGGATGCTCCATTTGATGCATCTGTTCCAAGAGGGAAGCTAAGGAGTTTAGTGAAACCAGCTGAACTCGTGGAAGCAGAGAGTGGAATGGTGGTTACTGGAGGCTGTGCGGGGGACCGACTGGGAAAGGAGAGACACTGGTCAAAGGGTACAAAGTGTCAGTGAGACCGGAGGAACAGGTTCTGGTGATCTGTTGCACACCATGGTGACTATAGTTAATGATAATATATTATCTGTTTCAAAATTGCTAAAAGAGTAGGTTTTAAATGTTGTCATCACAAAAAGATTACAAGTAGGGGAGATGATAGATATGTCAGTTAGCTTGATTTAATCATTCCACAATGCAAACATATATCAAAACATCACATTGTGCCTCATAAATATATACTCTCCTTTTTTGTCAATTAAAAATACATATAAAAAAACAAGGAAAAGGCATACCACAGGATTGAAGAAAGACTTGGCTCTTGGGTGTAATCAATTGCTGATATAATAAATCACTTCAAAAATATTAGAAAGAGAAAGAGTGCAGCTAAGGAGTATGGTTAAAATTAATTGAAATATACAAAGGACACGTCAATTTGAAAGTACTGCCTACACATTTTCATAGACTACACAGATGCATAGCTATATTAATAATATTACTTTAAATACATTTGATGGTTGTCACATTCTGTTGTACAATGTAACAATGTAAAATTTATTTCATTCATCTATGTTTCTTTTCTAAAGATCTACTTTTTTTTTTTTTGACATGGAGTTTTGCTCTTGTTGCCCAGGCTGGAGTGCGATGGTGTAATCTCAACTCACTGCAACCTCCGCCTCCTGGGTTCAAGCAATTCTTCCGCCTCAGCCTCCCAAGTATCTGGGACTACAGGCGTGTACCACCATGCCCTGCTAATTTTGTATTTTTAGTAGAGACAGGGTTTCACCATGTTGGCCAAACTGGCCTCAAATTCCTGACCTCAGGTGATCTGCCTGCCTCAGCCTCCCAAAGTGCTTAGACTACAGGCATGAGCCACCGTGCCCAGCCCAACATCTACATTTCTAAGAAAGATTAGGTCATCAAATTTTTTAAAATATCCATTGCATGGAACTTAGCGACACTAAAGATATTGTAGTATTGTAGAGGGAACCCCTCACCACATGCACGATTCACTTCTGGAGAGGTGCTAAGATCTTGTACATTTAAATACCCTGTTACTCGGTCATTATGTATTTTCTTAGTGTATGCAGCATGCAGGGACCTCGCCAGGCACTGGGGATAGAGTGGTGCACTGGTGGTCCCTGACTTCCTGTCACTAGCCATCACTCTGGTAAACTTGCAGTAAGTCTCTGACATTGTTGAATTCTCAGTATTCACTACTCAGGATCTAGATGGTAATTAAGCCAGCAGTGTGCAGAATGAGGATAAAAGAGTTGGAACAGGACTGTAATTTACTTGTACTATATTGGATCTAGACCTCTATCAAAAACAGAGGTTAGTATGCATACTGGAAATGAAATTTTCCAAGGAGTTAGAGATTTTAGAATCCTAAGGACTTGTCAACTTTGGTAATTTTCATAGATGACATTAAAAATTTGTTTGGCTGATCACTCCCTGCCCAGCCAGGGGTTAAGCTTACTGTAAGTTACAGAAGGAGGGTAACCATTCACAGACAGGACAGGCACCAAACTCCAGCCCATACCAGCACTGTGAG